TCTTAGGAGGTGAGAGTTTAACTTTCTCAATATACTAATCTGACAACTAATTACTAACTTTGGCCAATAAAAAAATAAAAATAAAATGATATCCCCATAGGTAACTGCAAATTTGGTGATTGAAACAAATTTCCCTCCTTATTACCACCTTTCCCTCCTTATTACCACCATATAGTTATAAGTATGATTACATAGGTAGGTAAAGTAGAGTGGTGTTGTATAAATAATAGCACTGGTACAGAAGCTTGAGGCATAAAGTGACGAGGGTTTTGCAAATACATATTAATGCATGGATAATTGCATGAGAGAGAACGTGAGTTTATCCAATTTGTTCAAGTGCTTCATATGTAATAATCAAGTAATACTTACTGATCTTATTTTATTAAAATAGAAGGCATGTGAAAATCTATGAAAAAGTCATAGTAGCTGGAAATAAAAATTAAAAAATAAAAAAAGTGACGGAGATGAGAAAGATAAAATAGGCAGCATGAGGCCGGGTTTTGGGAACTTGAACCCATGGTAACAGCTTGGCTGTGGAATTTCTCACAACCTTACCCTACACTACACTATACTACACTACACCTCCCTCTATTTAATGCTTGCAAAACTCAGCTTTTCATTGGCTTATGGGATCTGGCCTTGATTTCTCTTGCTAATCTCCCCACACCACAGCCCCACCCCACCCCCACCATATATTATATAGCTCTCTCTCATCTCTAGTCTCTAGCCATTTCAGAGTGCTCTCAAATCTACCTCCGCTGTTCAAAATGAAGGTAATGGTGTCCTTGTGGTGTTTATAATAATATACATACACACAATACCTAAATGTCTATGTCACTACTCACTCAGTAACTCCTTTTCGTTGCAGATTTTCAGTTGGATGCAAACCAAGCTTAATGGGAAACAAGGATCCAAAAACCCAAATTCAATATCAGCTAATCGTAATCTGCTAAACTTTTATTCTGCATTTAGTTCACTGAAGAGAAAGTGGGATGAAATTGAATATTCATTTCTTAATTAGCCTTTATATCGAATCTATCATTCCTTTCTAATAGTAAATAATAATTTCATTTACAACAATTATTTTTATTAGGGTAAATTATACTGATAGTTCTTATATTTTATCTCTTGTATCAATTTGGTCCCTATATTTTCAATTGACTCTATTTTTATTTTTAATTTTAGATTTCCTGTCAATTTAGTGCAATTAATAATTAATGTTTTTTAAGAAAAAAAAATATTACTAAATTAGTTGAGATTAACTTACTGAGTTGGGTAAGTTTATAATTTTGCCCTCAACAATATTGTACATAGCACTTATGTACTTATTTTTCATAAAAAAAATGCTAAAAATTATAACCAATTAGTCCAAATTGAGACAAAGTCATAAATTTATGGTCAAAATTGAATTAATTAAAATTACAAAAGATTAAAATGACACAAATATCAAAATACAAAAACTACCATCGTAATTTATCTTTTTTCTTATTTTTTTAATAAATCAAACATGAAAATAAATATTTTGATAGAATGATTATTCTATTTTATTTAACCAAACACTATACTCTATTACTACTTGTTTCCTTTTCCAAAACTGTGGTTTCTAATTAAATAAGAAATTTCTGATTTAAAGTGCATTCTGGATGTTTAAATCTTTGTGAATAATGATTCTTGAATATGTTGGTTTGCTTGCTGGTATTGGTGTTGATGTTACTTTATAGATCAGGAATTGTAGCTCAAAGTTCTAGTTGTATCTATTAAAATGTTATCGGATTGATTACTTGTCTGTTGCATTGCAACTTTATCATTCTCTAGTAAGTATATTCCATTCTCATTCAGTCACTGTGTTTGTTTGGAGGTATAAGTTCATAGAATTGAATTATGGGTGAATTATATTAATAGTCTCTATAGTTTGAGATTTGTGTCATTTTAATTTCTGACCTTTTAATTATGATACATTTGATTCTAAATTTTGAATCTCGTTTCACATAAAAATAATTGAAGACATTGTTACTCTATTTTAAGGATAAAGTTGTCATACAATCTATTTTGTGTTGTTAACTTATATGTTATTTGAAATATAATGACTTTTTTGTTTAATAAATAATGTTAGAACTTTTTTTGTTATAAAGTTCTGTTTGATTTGGTTTGGTTTAATTTTACGGTTTGGTGTATACCAAAATAGATGGGAGATAAGATATAAAATAGAGGAATTAATAGGGTTTGTATTATATATTAAAAGACCAAAATATTAATCATATTTTATCATTATGGTCAATTGCACCATAAAATTCATGTTCAATTCCAAACAAACATGAAATTCGATAGGATTCTACTAATTTCCTTCCTAATATCTAGGAACAGTCCAAACATGTGAGATAATATGTAACTCAAAGGGATTGGTAATTCCATGTCATGGAGATGCTTAGTTTCAACAATGATACAATTTTTTTCCAAGCATTTTGTACTTTTATCAGTGTTAATAAAATTATTTTTCTTGCCGCTCAAGAAAAAAAAAAAGAAAAAAGTAATCTCGCCTAATGAAACAAATATATAACAGTTGGTGTGGATCGATAGAAAATAAACTCTCTTACAATAATTGTTATGTCACTACAAAAAATTAAAACTTTAAAGACAAATTTAGAGTTATAATTAATTTCTAAAGAGTTTATGTTTTTCTAAAAATAAACAAAAACTAGTTTATAAAATTTTTATAAATATAAACTGAAAACGTAAACGTTACCAAACACACCCTACTTGTTTCCTTTTCCAAAACTGTGGTTTCTGATTAAATATGGAAGTACATTCAGGATGTTTAAATCTTTGCGAATAATGATTCTAGAATATGTTGGTTTGCTTGCTGGTATTGGTGTTGATGTTTACTTTATAGATCAGGAATTTTAGCTCAAAGTTCTAGTTGTATCTATTAAAATCTTATTGGATTGATTACTTGTCTGTTGCATTGCAACTTTATCATTCTCTAGTAACTACACTCCATTCTCATTCACTCACTGTGTTTGTTTGGAGGTATAAGTTTATAGAATCGAATTACGGGTGAATTATATTAATAGTCTCTATAGTTTGAGATTTATATTATTTTAATTTTTGACCTTTTCATTATGATACATTTGATTCTGAATTTTGAATCTCGTTTCACATAAAAACAATTGAAAACATTGTTGCTCCATTTTAAGGATAAAGTTGTCATACAACCTATTTTGTGTTGTTAACTTATATATGTTCTTTGAAATATAACGACTTTTTTGTTTAATAAATAATGTTAGAACTTTTTAAAAAAATTCTGTTTGGTTTGGTTTAATTTTGAATCTCCCGTTTGGTGGATACCAAAATAGATATCTGGATTGACAACTCCCATATGGGGACAATTGAGTCTCATGGGAGATAAGATATAAAATAGAGGGATTAATAGGGTTTGTATTATATATTAAAAGACCAAAATATTAATCATATTTTATCATTATGGTCAATTGCACCATAAAATTCATGTTCAATTCCAAACAAACATGAAATTCGATAGGATTCTACTAATTTCCTTCCTAATATCTAGGAACAGTCCAAACATGTGAGATAATATGTAACTCAAAGGGATTGGTAATTCCATGTCATGGAGATGCTTAGTTTCAACAATGATACAATTTTTTTCCAAGCATTTTGTACTTTTATCAGTGTTAATAAAATTATTTTTCTTGCCGCTCAAGAAAAAAAAAAAGAAAAAAGTAATCTCGCCTAATGAAACAAATATATAACAGTTGGTGTGGATCGATAGAAAATAAACTCTCTTACAATAATTGTTATGTCACTACAAAAAATTAAAACTTTAAAGACAAATTTAGAGTTATAATTAATTTCTAAAGACGAAATATTTTAATTGTCAAAAGTATTATTGTTGTATTTTTAATAATAAAATTAGACATTTAAGTAATAAATACCAACCTTTTTTCTCGCCATGGATGGATCTGCCTTTCCTTCCCTTCCCTTCACTTCCCTTCTCCGTTCTCAACGATCACCGCCGTAACCATCATCACCAAGGAATCCATTTTTCCATTGATTGTGTTCACAAGCACCTTTTAGCAACCAAAATCAAACACCACTCGTCCTATTTCTTCATTGATGGAGGGTGCTCTTGTTCAATATCTGCTATTTTATTGGTTTAGGACTTCAATCATGCACATGCCTATACAATGTGTATAGAGAGAGTAGCAGTGGTCTGACTAATGGAGGTTGGGCGTGAGTGGGAAGAGGAGAAATGAGTGGGGATGGAGGTGATGGGTCGTTGGCCTGGGGGCCGGAAAGCGGTGGCGCGGAGATTTTCAGTGGTGGGCAGTTGCTGGTTGCAGGAAGAAATAAGAGATCGAGGAGTAAATTTGCAGAGAGAGAGAGAGACAAGGGGGGAGGGAGAAGATTCGGTATATGTGTGAGTGTTAAAAGTTTGATAAAATTCAATTCCTTCATGAGGTGGCACTGTTTCATTGGTTGACAGTAAAAAATGGATTTACCGATGAACGGTAAAAAAGTTAAAGGTGAGATTTGAACCAAGGCAAGTGGTCGAATGGTAAAGTCTGGAGGATAAAATTCACAATTCTCGAGTTCGAGTCACCCCTTGGGGCCACTGGAGGTTTGCCCGGTCGTTAATTTCAGAGTCCTCAGGATTAATCCTGACTTCCCTTAAAATCAACGGATTGGGAATACCTGAGTTATCAAAAAAAAAAAATGGTGAAATTTGGTTAAGATTGAAACTGAGTAGCTTCTATTTGCACATTTCTATTTTTTTTTCCTTACTTTACACCAATTGTGTCATTTGGATATCAACTACCGAATAAACAATAATGTATCAAATATCAAACTGGGTTTTCATTCCGTAGTTAATATCTAACAATTGAAAGCATAGTAAAAATAAGATTGATCATGCCATTGAAAAGGCCTATTTTTGATCATGCTATTACACTGTTCTTGAATATATATATATATATATATATCACATGCTACAAGAACCTCGCAAAGAAGAGTTCAATGACTGGCCTCATGGATTTCTTGCAATCGGCACATTTGGAAATAACAGCTTGAGAGAAGATCCTGAGAGATGCAATATTCTAGAGTCTTCCTCCCAAAATCATCACCACCTACATGACAATGACTTACCTCCTGAAGACTAGACATGCGACCCACATTCCCCTCCATTGATTTACACAAATAAATAAATCCAAATAAACCGTAAGCTCTGATACCAGTTGTTAGGGAAAATCAATGTGATTCCCCACAAGTAAATCAATCAATGGGAATAAAAACTAATGCGGAAAAATTAAATCAAAGGCAACACAAGAATTTTACGTGGTTCCCTCAATGTGAGGTACGTCCACGGGATCGAAATCCAAATCCACTATCAACCAAATAATTCCAAACGATTACAAACGAGACACTAATGGTCTCACAAAACCACCCTTAGGTGAATTCCAAATAATCACAAATAAACAAAGAGGAAAGACCTCACCAAATAGATGAACAAAATCTTCTGAACCAAAGTTGAAGAAGACCCAAAATAACAAACCAAATCAGAACCGAAGATACCCCAAAAATTGAGCTTCACAAAAAACCGAAATTGAACCAAATATTCCATCTTCGGCACTGTTTCCGAAAATTGTAAGCAGCCGCCACTTTTTCCTTTGTAATCCCACCAAGCAAAAAAAACATAATCAATATATATATATTATATATGTTGTGAATCTTGGATTTTTATAATTAAATCCTAATTGTATCCAAATTGAATTGGGTCTCCTCAAATATAATATATAAAAATATATTATACTAAACCAAGCCAAATTAAAACTCTTTTAATAAATCAATTGGGTCCCACACTCCAATAAGGAGGTATATCCCAACAGTTGGTTCGTTCATTTGCTTATTATCTTCTATGCATTCTTATTGCCTATGGGGATTTGAATGGGAAGAATGTTTTGCCTTCCAGTTATTAATTCCTTCTATGCATTCTTGTAATAATTCATTCCATTTTGTCTTTAATCGCATGGCATGTCTACAGATTTTGAGAGCTATACTACACAAGAAAATATATCCCCAGAATTCTAGTTCAAATCCAAAGGCTACTGCAAAGAAATACTTGGAGACAATTTCTCATATGCACAACTCTGACAACAATGAAGGTGAAATGCTTGATACTGCTGCAAATGATGGAAGTAAATGGGTCAAGACGGATTCTGAATGTAAGTTGTTTCTAATTCTAGGCTAGTATATATATGGTAGTTGTTTTTTAATCATGCATCTATCTTAAACTGTATAACTGACTAATTGACATATATACATGGTGTCTTTGGTTGAGTTTAAGACAATTTTATTGATTGGTTGGTTGGAACTTGGTTGGTTGGCGGTGTATGGAAATTTTGCAGGATGTTGATTGATTGTACGGTAACTATATATCAATTTTCTGGTTGCAGTTATTGTTCTAGAGATATAATTAATTTGCCTCATCTTTAGACTCACTGTTGGCGGAAGATCGATGAAATGGTAAGCTTTAATATGACTACTTGTTAAGTTATTCAACAAAATTTTCAACTCTCTTTTCCTCAAACAATGAATCCTATCCTATCCATTTGACATATGAAGAGTTAACTCATTCTTTTGTTTATGTCAATGTGTAGTTCAATTATATAATCTTCTTAATTATTGCAGGGATTCAAGTAGTCAGACTCAAGCAGACTTATCTAGCTAGAGATGAAAAACTTGTCATCTTTTCTAATAATAGTATGCCACTGTCCATGAGATTGAAAGTATGATCAAAAGGTATATAAAACAAATTGCTTGGATGTAAAAGGGATTGAGCTGTAGATGAACTTAATTGTTGATTGTTGTAACTTGTTATTGAACTCCACATTACTATTAATGGCTATAAAAATAAAAATCAGTTAATTTGATCCAACTTTCTTTGTTATTGGGAAACAATAATAAAATTTGGGGGAAGAAATGGAAGATTATTGTTTGTGGATTGGGAAATGCTCCGCTGTGCAATGCACACCGTATGCAATCTTAACACAAAATTATATAGGTTTTTACGAATTTATATAAGTGATCTCACGAAAATGTATAAGTTGAACACAAATTTGTATTAGTTCGTGAAAACTTACATGATTTTGTGAATGTACACGAATTTATGCTCAACTTACATATTTTTGTGAGATCATTACTTGAAAACGAATCTTCTGTTCAAAAACGAAATGTTCCAAATGTTCCTGGAAATATAAATTTGTAAAAATTTACGTAATTTTATATGTGAATGTTATATACGGTGTGCATTAGACATCGAAGAATTTCCTTTCGTGAGATGACATAGCTTTAGTTATTGAGAGTTAAAAACTACTTTTGCTTAGTTTATGGCAACTTTTACAATAAAATATGGGTTTTGTTAAGAAGTGCTCCTAGGGCAAATGTTAAGAATGCATTAAATCATCTCAACACCTCAACTATTATAAAAGATAGGAAAATCTATAAATGTGTCGTTCTAGAGACTAAAGTACCTTTTTCTCCAATTCCTTATATTTCAACATAATAAACTTTTCAAATAGAGTTCATTTATTTTCTAAAAAAAAATTTATCATAAAACTAAATGCATTTATTTTCAAATGAAATTTTGAGGTTTTTTTTTTTTAAAAAAAATTTAAATGCCCTTTATTTTAATAACAAATATAAAAAATTATATGACCTTTATTTTTTTAAGATTCATTTTCCTTTGTTTTATTTTATTTTTAAAATTTTTAGATTCATTTTCCTTTTTTATTTTTTAAATTCACTTTTCTCTATTTTTTTTTAATTTTTAGATTCATTTTCTTTACCCCATATAATTTAATTATGATTGAAAATGGAGGACATTTAAAATTTAAAAAAAAAAATTGAAATTTCATTTAAAAATAAATGCATTTAGTTTTATGATAAAAACTATTTAAAAAAATAAATAAATTACATATCAAAAGTATATAATATTAAAATAGAGAGAATTGGAGAAAATGGTATTTTAGTCTCTAGAAGCCACATTTATAGCTTTTCCTATCTTCTATGATGGTAAAGATAGTTAAGATGATTTAATATATCCTTAGCACGTGTTCTTAGAGAACTTGTTAACGCGGCCCATAAAATATATAATTTTGAATAACCAACGAAAATATATATATATAAATTAAAAAATTGTTTCAAAATTGAAAATGCCCTTTGATTTTAACATAAAAAATAATTACATTTCTTTGGCCAATTGTTGGAAGAATTAATTAATGAAAGGAAAAGCTTCTCTCCAGTCCATATCAAACTGGAGAGTGCTGTTAGGCCTCCATGGGTTCAATACGAAGCCCATATCGATAATTCGAATAATTCAATATGCGGAGCTCGTCGATTATTTTATCTCTGCAAAAAATCACATTGATTGAATGTCACACCCCGAATTTTAAGATCCGACCCATGTGAATAATCCAATAATTAATAAACGAAAAGACAATGAATAAAAGAAATAGGGTTAATTACAAAAAGAATCCCGAAGTTTCACACATTTTTTACTTTAAACCTTAGCATTTTAATTTAGACTATAGCGGCTCAGGTTAAGACCCGACTGTGGGATGCCTCTCGGGGTTACCATGCGCGCCATATAGTTCGGACTCCCAACCTCCTGATCTAGTCTTACTAGTGCAATATGACATAGAAGAATGAGAGTCCAAATCCGGCAATTTTTGTAAAACATCCATTTTATTGCAAAATATTGCCAGAAATAGATTACATCACTAGATTTCAGAGTCGCCACTTAATCTTTTGAGAAAATTAGAAAACCCGTGACTCGTATCAAAGGCCATCATCTGTCATAACCAAAGTGTCTTGACTCGAGAACATAAGTATGGGAGGAGAAGGGCATTAATTGAGAACCTCACTCACCTGATCAAGGATCGCCCTCTACTAAGTCATAATGTAGTTTTCTATAATCAATGTAAATCCATATTTTGATTATTAATAATGCTATCATTACTATTTGAGGCATTCAAATATAGATTGTGTCGTAAATTTTGGTTATGCTCTAACTTAATGCTTTATTTGAAAAGGGGTTTTCTCAAATAAAATCCACATTATAAGAATCATTCACAGTCCAAAATAAATAACACAACCTCCATCTACTAGCATTCAAACCAATATCTCACTTAAGCATTTAGTCTTATGTAATAGCAACAGATGTGGTAAGGAACATACACATGCAATATGCTAAAGTTCAAAATGCTCACCTAGTACTCCAAGACGAGTCATGATATATACAGATATGTATAGATATGGATGATCCTATATACAAGTTCCTAATGCAATACATACAGACCATGTCCCTAGGAGTTCGGATTGTGAAGATGTAGCATGAGTATCACCAAAATACATAGATTTGCGCATGTATTCATTTTTTAACATAACACGTCATATTAAAGGGGATGATTCGGACCCAAATGCATGGAAAAGTGGATGCAATATACAGGCATGATAAAGAAAACATGATGAAATACTGAAAGTAGATAAATAAAAGGATTAAAAAGATGCGGGGTTGGAAGATTATTACAACAATTCGAATAACAAAAAGGAAAGAGAGAAATTATTACAATAATGAATTGTCTCAGCTTAGCTATTGCTGAATCTAAGAAATCACATAATGAAAAGAAGTAATCCAGGGGCTCTAGTACTGCTCAAGTGAGCATTTCCTAGAAATTGTCTATTCTGTTCTTGGAGGAAATGACCAGCCAGACACTAGATGAGCCAGCCGAAGTAGAAATGAATCAGTTAAATTCGCTTTCCGACTAGGGATTAGGTTAGTGCAGAACCTCAAGACAATGGCCAAAATGAGGCTTTATGGGTGGTTCTCACACGTTCCACCTCCTCTGTTGACAGGGATCACTTAGAGAGGAGATAGATGGGCAAAAACCCTTAACAACAACACAAACAGATATATACAACAGGTATTTTGCCCTAAGAAACAAATTAAATGGATCAAAATCAAAACAAATTCAAGCCTAAGAAATAGATAGGAACCTACATCTTTTCTTTGTGAATGAAGGCAAGTTAATACCCAAATCCATGCGATTAAGTGGAGAGCGTAGATTAGTGCAAATCATTTCTTGGCAGAAGTTTTGCTTATTAAAACAAGGGATTCATCAAACTCATTGAAAACTCATCATCTAGTCATAGAATAAGGATGATAACATCCTTTTCTATGTTCACAAATTATCGAGACGAGAGTTTTCGCTTTCTTTGACCCAAAATCTCTTGTTTATTTCCAAAATACTCAATGAAAAAAAGAGAGAACAACACTTGCCAATACTAAATCCCATGAATCACTCAAGCAACCTCATGAAACAACTCCTAACACTCATTCTTATTGAGTCAAGGGTCAAAACACATAGATTGGCATACTTGAGAGATATAATAGATGAAGATAAGTGGTGTAATAAGGAGAAGAGTTATTCTGCTTATTAAACTTGTGAATGGATGGCTAAAATTACTCCCAAACACATCCACAAGAATCCAAAATATACAAGAGTTAGATAGTTGAAGCTATGAAAAACAAATAAACAAAGAAAATAACTATCAACTCAATGAATAGGTGGCTAAAGTTATTCCCTCTACATCCATGAGGACTTAGAACAATCATATAATGAAAATAAAGCTTAAAACTGAAGAAAGGGAGATAGAAAAGTGATTTAGATTATGAGGAAATCACCTCCTAAGAGGATAGGTCACTTTGATTCACAAACTCCCTTATTAATTCCCTTAATTCACTTTGGATAGATTGTTTAATGTCCACGAGTCTGAGCAAGGTGCATAGGATCAAGCTTTCATGGAGTGTTGGTGTCCAAAGTCAAGAGGGTGGTAGATAAAAAGTGTGGTTGAGAGGAGGAGTTAAGAAGCTCTTAGGAGCCTTTGGAAAAAGTTTCTAACCTCTTTAAAAGACCTGTCAAGCTCTTATATATAGAGCCCATGTCACAAATATTTGAAATATTTGTGGTAGGTAGGACAAACAAGCTGAAATTCCCAAAAATGCTTTGTACCCAAAACATTCACCCAACTGAGCTTCCTGGTGATTGGCTGACTGCTTTTGTGGCCGGCCATCATATGGTGTCCGGCTAGTCAATGGGCACATCGTCAGATCACACAAGAGTTGGTTAGCCTGAATTGAAGGGAGAAATAAGTATTTCAGAGGATTTCACCTTTTCCATTCACTTCCACTATTCTTTGCTCGGTTTGTTTGAAAGAATACTATGTTTAGGATTTTGAAAATATGAGCCTCAGACATTGTGGTAACGTCTGGAGTTGCACCTCCTAAAACTCATTTTGAAAAATATTTCCATTTTGGTCAAAAAACATTTTGTCCAAAAAAGTTGTTAGAGGGTTTAAAGCTTGATCCTTAGAACTCATGTCATAGAAATTGCACAAATTAACACCACTCACTTT